TCACCAAAAGAAATAGATTCTTACCTGGAGTTGCTTGTTACTGAACTCATGCCACAGAAAAATATAGCAACAGCAACGATTCCTAGACAAATGATGCCACCGATTCCATTGCCATATCTGCTTTTAAAGGCAAGATAAAAAACTTCGGCAATTGCATATCCACCAGCATCATTGTCACTGCTCAAGAGATAGGGAATGTTTGTAGCTGCAAATGTGATCCCAAGTAGGTAGCCCCAGCCGACGATGATTGATATGCCGATGGAACTAATTATTCCCTTTGGACCATTCTTGTCTGCATTTTTAGTTTCCTCTGTCTAAAAATAACACGCTGAGTAGCTTGGAATGCATCCATAAGAACAATATCGAGGTCTAGTCATGTTTTCAGAAATATATCTCTTATAGGAAATGATGCATGTCAATCCACCAAAACAGTTGAAATAACACAGCAAACGGAAAATGATACTCCGATCATTTTCTCCATTTCTAAGGCCGAGCAAACCAATGCAACAGTCGTCTAACCAACATAAAACTCCAATCACGCCAATAAAAATTACTACTGCAAGGGAACGAAAAAATCGAACTTGGCTTGCAATAGCTCAAAATGTGGTATTCGTATAAACTAATTTAGAGAGCTCCAGAAGTTAGACAAGGATTCATACCATATTTGCAGATGCATCATATCCTGTTAATGTATATTGGCTCATCAAGAGTCCTAAAACAAAGATGTAAAGCCTGCTGTGGATTCCAGCATCATTGTCAGTGTTGAAGTGAGTAAAGACAAATTTGGCACTGGACCTTTCGGTGGCAACGGTAGGTACGAGGATCATAAGGACAAAAACACCTGAAGAGAAACACCCTATTTATTGAGAATCTCAATAGATTTTTTTAACTAACTGTGAGAAAATTACTGAATATGGAAGTTAATTACTGAATGCGTACCTATTACATTCCATGTAGCAGCTAACTGTCCGAACAATGATATCCAAGTTATAGGAAGACTGTTTATGATAGCATGAATCAGGAGAATAGCCCCATGGAATCCAATGACCAGATATTTGGAAGCCAAGTATCCACCTCCATTGTTCCCTCCAGTACTAAGTAGGATAATCACTTGAAGTAATTGAGCTAATGAGAAGTCTACACTGGTTGTAACAGCCCACTGCAAGAGAGAGTCTCCTTAGCAGCTCTGAAGGATTTGGAGGTTTAGCACCACAGGAGGAGGCATGGCCATGGTGAACAAACAAATAAAATTGCACTGAGGAAAATCTAGAATTACCTGCCCAACAATGTTAAACCTGCAGCAAGTTAAAAAGAAAATGTTATAAAGCTTTAGATAGGAGTATAATTTTAGTATAAGCTGACAGATAATTACCATCTAATAATTTTCTGGAAGAAGTTAAATGAAATCTATAGAATTGACTTAAACTTCAGATTTCGAACGCTTATATATGGTACATTCACCAAAATTATAAAGAAAAAAATAATTTCACCAAATTATCTGTTACTTGTGACGCTGGACTAATGCTGATAAATGCCGTCAAATGTGAGAGCTGACAACAATTGATCATTGTGCAATAATATAATGCTTGTGTCAGTATAGAATGATTCAGAAAACATATTTACACAATAGATTTGGCATCACTGCCAAATTATATGACTGATGATTTGTCTCCTCTGTTCAAGTTTCTCATGAAGTTGGAAAAAATCGCATCCTCATCTTCAAACCTTCACCCTGGAAGCACTCAGGCAGAGTTCTATACATGCCTTAAGCATATTTGTTGCATTAGCTTGTGCTTAAAGAACTAAAAGCTCATACAAGAACCATTTAAGATCCCAATCCATTTGTCTGTCAGGGATACACCCATTGACAAATATACTGTGTTTGAACTCCATGGTGCAGACCCTACCATTTCTCCAGAACTGTAGCTGAGACCCATTTACAAGAATGCATTCATCTAGAATGATGCAGAGACAAAGTGGTCGCCTTTACAAACTAGCAATTCCAAAAGTTGGAATGCTGAACATACTAGAAAGTAACAACATTTAGCCTGTGTATTTTCATAGTTGGAAGAGGGATAAGGAAACAGATGAGAAACATAAAACAAGAATTCAGTGTAATAGTTGACTAGGTTATCTTGGTCTGATTTGGTTCACTACATAAGCACAAATGACCTGATATGAAGGCCTATGCATAAGACTGTCCAAGTCATGTGGTCTATAGGTGCAATAGCAGGGTTCAATAGCAAGCTTTTGGAATATGTCCAGTCAAGCACTTCAAGTTAGTGAAACACCAACATGTGCAGAAGTGAAGAAGGCAAAACTAACCAGCCAATGATCCATGAAGCAAAAGGTTAAGTATAAAAAGAAACAGGTATCTACATGCTAAAGGGGAGCTAAAGAAGACTGGGAACTCCATGAATGCAGTAGAAAAGAAACAATCATGCACTACATTGCTGTGAAACTTCACGATGCGGTGAAGGAAGGAATGGAGTAACATCACAGTTCAATTCATTGATGGGAAGGATGCAGCACTCACCATCCGGTGATCCACGAAGCAAAAGGTCCCCACCGGTCGCCACAAAGCTTAGCACTCCAAAAGTAGAGACCACCAGAGGTGGGATAAGCCGAGCAGATCTCAGACATGGCAAGACCAACCATAAGAGTGAAAGCACCAGCAATGGGCCATCCATATATCATGGTCACGGGTCCTCCAAACTCAAGGCCAGTGTTGTACAGTGTTGTTATACCAGTCAGGACCGATATGACGGAGAAGCTCACGGAAAAGCTGGAGATCACCCTGCTCAGATCAAACGAAAACAGTAAGTATCAATGCCATCACTGAAATCTAGAGAAGCATGGATGGATCATTGGTTGAATCGGTGGATCAATCGGTCAAAATACAAATTAAATAATTTTAAAAAATATATATAGATAATATCACAAGAAATAATTTTTATAATATGCATAAATAAAATCATATGGTAGAAAGCTTAATTAGGATGATAGATAACAAGAGGCTAATAAATACAATAGAAATTTCTTTTATTTAATTCTTATAATTAAAAATAATTAAATATCCATGAAAAAGAATAATACAACCATAAATCTCAACTATTTGGGATCACCTATAAAGATCTTTTATTGTCATTAAGATATATAAAAAGTTATATATTTAGTTAAATTTAAAGTCTGTAAATTTTTATTTATAGTTTCCATTAAAATCTTCTTAAATCTTCATTTATCTTTTCTCGTACTATTAACATTGATTATTTCACCTCCTCCAACTACAAAAGATAAATAAGTTAGGTGAAGACATAAAAAAATAAATATATATATATATATAATTATTACTTTTGGAAGTATATATATAATTTTTCTGAATCAGAAAAATGAGGAGATTGTTCAACATGCTCCTACACCAGCAGCCTTCAATTTTCTATCAACCCACACCAACCCATCAATAATTTGGAAGAAGTTAGGCATCTCTGACTCATAATAATTTTAGATGTCGATGTCCCAGCTGACGAAGCAACCTGCAACAATCGAAACCACAGCACGAGTTGCAAGGTTTCATGGGTGGCATTGTCCCCACCACAGGATCGAAGTCCTGAAATGCTCCGGTCGTCTTGTACCTCAAGTCATCGGATTCCTTCTCCATCTTGTTCTAAAGCTAATAATTTAGATCCTCACCATTAAGATGAAATAATTGACTTCATTATCTATGATAAATTAGTTGCTAATCTACAGAAAAATCATTTCAAAAATGATGCTAAAGATATTAACGATATTTTGATGTATTTTATATATTTTTGTTAACCATGATTAACACAGGTTGTTTGAGTCAATGTCAGTCAATGAGCAATTGCTTGTGGAGGATCTGAATATATACTAACCTCTAAAAATTATATATACATCTCCAATGCCAATAACTTTCATAATTACCATTCTAAATAATTTAATTTATACCTCCAACACCCAAAAAATTAGTGATTATAGCATATATGTTTAATTTTACATGACCTTCATTCAAAGAGTGGCAACTTAAAATACTATTTAAGGCTCTTAATATTTCTAATATTTTTTTTCTATATTCAAACTAACAAATTCTTCCAATGAAAAGGACATTCTTAATACTTGCAGATATATATATATATATATATATATATATATATATATATATATATATATATAGAGGGGCAAATGCACTACTTCCAAAGTTTGCAATGGATATGTAAAATCCCTAACTTGTAAGAAAAATCTCGAATGGCAAAGCCGATTAGACCCGTAAAATAATTAGAAAAACCAAAGCCGATTTCATGAGATGAGAAAGGCGAAGAAAGAGAGCGATGGGAACATACGAGAGGCTGCGGCTGAGTTCTTGCTTGTAGCCGAGTTGCTTCAGCCGTGAGCCGTCGCCATTTCCCTCCTCCTCCTCCTCCTCCTCCTCCCTGATCGATTCATCGCCTTCGAGAAGTCTTCTTTCAGCCATCGGTCTCTCTCTCTCTCTCTCTCTCTCTCTCTGCGCAGAGCAAAAGGGATGAGCTTTTGAATGTTTGGTGTCAAGCAAGCTTTATGTAGCTCTCTGTCTTCATGGTGAAAAGGGGAAAAGAAACCATTTCCTTTCTTTGTTTCTGTTTTGGAGCTCCATTGATTGGTTAAGAGACCACTGTTTCTTTTGTTTAGTGCTCATCTCCAACAGACCCTGAGAAAGAAAATTCCCATTCCATTTATTGAAAGGCTTATTAGAGAAGCCACCAATTGCTTTCACAGATGCCTCAAACTGGACCAAACAGGCAAATTGGAATGGGACAAGTGTGTCTTATATTTGCATATATCATCATTTCATGCAAAATTTGTAGAACTTCCATCCAAAAGGTACTATCAAAATTAATTTCAGATGAATTCTTAATGTTTTCTTTTTGTATGATATATATGAGGAACAGAATACAACTATTGGGTGGTGCATCAAAAGCCAATGATGACAAACACTGTTGAATAGATAGTGAAGGCACTCAATTCACCTTGTTCTCTTGATTAGATAAATACAGGATATTAATTGAGTACATATAAACAAGCACACAACCCAACATCAGTAGGATGAAGATGATGATTCCACAGTACATAATACTAGTTTACATGATGATAGACTTTACAGTAGAGGAAGTCCCAACCCAAAATGAGTGAGGAACAGAAAAATAAAATAACATAAAAAAAAGGGGGAAGGAAATTTCAAAAGGCTTGTCAAAAGTACAAAAGCACTAAATAGAAGATGGAAGCGAAGAAGTGGGCTTCTTCTTGTTCCCTCGGACTCCTCCACCATCTTCACCTTGTTCTTCCTATCCGTCTTCTCATGCTCTTGGAAGGGTTCTCACAGCTCTCCGGAGATGACGAGGGACTTGTAGATCTCGCATAGTAACCTCCGCTCGAACTCAACCGATTTGATCTTCGTCGATCGAGACGTGGGGATCCTCTTCGACCAGACCTCCGGCCCACTCTTGGTGGAGAGGCCGGGCGCCTTCCCGGCCATGGCCAGCATGCAGTCGACGTAGGCGTCCCTGAGCCGGACCAGGAGCCGGGCCGGGGAAGGGAGTCTGATCCTGAACCGGAAGCTCCGCCGGAGCCTCACGAACCACCGCCTCGTCCCCCGCACAGCCCCGAGCTTCGTCACCTTCTTATGCCCGGGTGACGACGATCTCTCCAGCTTCTGGTACTTCCTCCTCCTCCAGTAGGAGTTGATGCCCCTGTAGAACTTGATGGGCACCTCCATCTCTCTCCTCTCTTCTCTCTTCTCGTGTGTGTGAAGCAGGAGGAGCAGGACACGGGAGTATATATGGCTCAGGCTCGCACACTATCAAATGCAAAGTTCGTGTTCTCTGGTCAATAATAAAAGGCTTGTCTGACTTGCAATGCCCAAACGCTTGCGTGCGTGGTTTCTGCACGACCACCATTTCGGCCACCTTCTAGAATGGCAGGCGTCCAATCAATGGCGCCGGAGCCATCACAAGTCAGCAAGAAGAATTCGTGGGAGTTGACAAGTCAGTTTGACTCGGTAGGAGTTGACCAGGAGCGGTGACACGTGGATTGGCCTGTTGGGTTAAATGTAATTAGTAATAATATTATTATTATATTATGCATATCGTCAGTGGCTGCAGAACAATTCAGATGAGACTGTATGTAAAACACATGCTTCATTGACCGCAACACATTACCTTGAGTTCTTGATTTCTACCACTCCTTTGGTCATCGCAATCAGCAGAGGAGATTGATTGCTTCCCAAGAAACATCAATCGTTGGTCTACTGAGAAGTGTCGTCAGAATGAAGAAAACTCAGCTTATCCATAGCTTGGGCCATCGTATGTACATATACACACACCAGCAGTGAGCTCTGTAATGACTTTGACAACTATTTCTGAACAAGTCTAAGATGATGAATCTTCAGAGGAACTGAGAGAAGTTTGCTTCTGGTTTTGGCTTTGTCATGTAAATGTGATTGTCATTCTTCACCATGGCTTAGTCAACTCAACAAGGAAGCTTAAGACACGGTCTCTTCTACTGATGTTGCCTTGGGGATGAAGAAGCTAGCGAAAGGGATGTTGATCGAGTCAATCAGGTAGGTGAAAATGTTCGACCTCACATGGCATACCACTTCATTTTTGAAAAGCATTTATCTCAAATATGTATAAATCACAGACCTTATGCCTTGAATTAGAACACATGGATCTGCTCTTTAGTGTCATAAGATTACAATAACATCTGTTGCAAGGTTGAGTGATCGATCGGCATGGCATCTCCGTCGTAAATAGAAGAATTTAAGCTTGAAACCACTGAATTCAATCTAATCCTCATCAATAGAAGTCGAGAATCAAACGCTTGTCATGTGGATGACAGTCACGAAATAGTCTTCAAACTCAGATCAAACTGATATGAACACTTGAATCATAATTTGTCAAATGTTGGCTGAAATCCTTGGGGCGTAGCACGGCATTCAAATGCTACTATTTGTGAACAGCTTCAAGAACGAGTGAACTAAACAGCTGATACTAGACGGAATCTTTCTTGGGAGAGTACATTATTGACTGCCCTTTCCTCTGCCAGAAGAGACTGTAGGTCGCTTCCATTTGCCAAGCTATTGAATTCTATGGATTTGGAGGGGTCTGTTGGGTACCGGCGCTGGCAAAATGACATGAGCCTCTTCACCGACTGCAAATACTTACGTGTCGTCTCGTCGTTCATGATGTGGGCGACGCTGTTCGTGCAGATCTTCTCATGGGCTGAACGCTCGTGGATTCCCACCATTGTCACACCGATAGGCCACGGTGCATTACCGATGGCCAGCCTGATATACTCATCCATCGCAGCTAGACAATCTCGTTTCATGCAGCATTGCACAACCTTAACCAAGGCCTGGCGTGTTGGGCTGATGGCCCATATTCAGCCCATGTGGGCTTTATCAGCCCACAGTCCACACCCTCTCTTAATCTAACCTTAATTAAGATTAGGGGGGTGTGATGACTG